CAACTTGAACCACAATTGAGTCTACTAGAGGGGGGGGGCGCGAAAAAGAAGCAAAATAAAAATCAATTAAATTATCAAATTAAAGAAGGAATAGATTATGAAATCATCGTGAATTCTATTGACAACAAGGTGTTGATACGATGTCAGTGTGGTATAAATTACACATTAGGTCACACGGATAACAATTATCTTGAAAGTCATTTCACTCTGAATATTATACTTTTTGAAAAAGATAGGCAACATAGTTTTCTAAGTTCTTAGATCAGTAGCGGATTCAAGAATTTTTGAAGGGGGGGGGGGGTACGGTTTAGCAAGAGAAGGGGACAGATGTGATCAAAGTACAAAATTTCGAAAAAAGAATCGCCAAAAATAAGCATGAAATCAGTTTCAAACGGAGGGGCGGTTGCTCCCATCACCCTTGCTGTGGATCAACCACTGCGCTTAGATATTGAGCATAGAGAAGAATGTGAATTAATATAAACGTTGCTTATTTATAAATGAATGCTATAGGAAATGTTCAGTGCGGGTTAGTGAGAAAAATTATACAGATTGGTTTTTCGTCTTCTTAACTTTTGAAATACTCTTTCCACAGATAAACAATTAGTTTAGGCAGGTAATGGCGTACTAAGTACTGTAAAATCAAGACGGCGTTACTTTTGTCATACTTTACTGTGCTGTTATTTCGATCAATAACAATAATTGTTTGTATCGATCTAAAAGATATTATTATTATCATAACTTTAAATGATATTGATTTCATTATGTCTTTTGTTTAATCCTTTCCTGTTATTATTGCTTAAAGACCTACATAATAGTAAAAGTTAATCCACGCATTAAAATGAAAACAATTCAATGAGGTGTATGGAAAGAAAATTAGTCTTTTTTTCATATTTTTGTCACACATATAATGACGACATCATTAATTCATGTTTGATAGACCGTGAAAAGATTATATGTGAAACAGTAGATGCAACTATAAATAAGAATATTACCTTTGAACATCATATTTTTCTTGTTGAAATTGACATTGAGTATCAGTTTTTTTACTAATCAATCTAAATATCTAAAATTCTTAATCTTAACGGATATCAACACTCCGTAAGTTGTATTCCTGCTAGTGAATATTGAACAGTTACATCAGCGTAATTCAATATAGAAAAATATTTGTTATTCATTACTTGTTGGGTGTGATCTAATGAGAACCATTCTATTGTGCTATCGATGTGACTCGAAACCATTAAGACAGTTCATTTTGAACAACATCGTAAGCTAATAAAACTGATCTATCGAAATATTTAAACATCGTGTTTGGATCCCATTATGTATCTTAGACCTCGCAATGAGAAGAATAGCACGATACTTCCATTGATTTTATCATATTTCTCATTTACATAATCAAACCCATCTATTAATATATAACAGCTTTTCTTGTTATTTTAGTTATCAAATTATACCCGTCATTTAAGAAATAAAAATCCATGTTCTATGGTTCAACAAAATTTGAAAGATCTTCGTGAAAATCTGACTGTCAATGTTGTTTCTACTATTGATAATTCCAACACATCTATTGATCCAATAATCAATACTGTATCAAATTCAATGTCATCTATCCAAACATCACTAAAAAAAGAAAAAGAAATGAAACATCTGGTTCATCTTTGTCAAAGAAAAAGAAAAGCATTTAACTGTATACTTTTAGCTAGGCTTTTATTGTATTTAATACATTTCATTATTAATTTATCAATGTGATCTATTCTACATTGTTATTTTACGAGAAAATTGATTTAATTAAATCCAATTTGTTTCTCAGATTGGAATAAGCAGACAAGAATTTGAAGATCGAATGTAATACGAACAGCATCGAATTTTTTATATAGTCGCATAACAGTAATTAAAACATAATTACACGTTTTGGAACAAATTACTATGCTCAGAGGCTAATCATATTCTACATCTCTGACTAGTCTTACGTAGTACATGTGGTATAAATATGAGATGTAACTGTCGATGTATAAAGAAAAAAATTCGAAAAAGTTATATTCTTGCTTTCAGCCTACCCGGTAGATTCACTGTTTTGAATTGTTATTTTCTTCAATAAAATTTACCCAGTTATAAGACATATCTAATTATGATAATATCAACGGATATAAAAGGCATTTTTCAAATAATATAAAGAAAGCTGAAAATTTGATTGATGCTAGAAATCAATTTGAAATCAACAGAAATCAATAGAAATCAATAGAAATCAGAGAAATCATTAGAAATCAGTTTGTTCCCCCTTGGTCGTTCTTGAAAAACATTAAAAGATAAAACTTTAGAAGATAATTTTGAATCGGAATTAATAAAGGGTCCTGTCAAACACATATATAAATTTAATTTTTTATCTAACAGCATATCTGTAGTAATGGCTAGTGCATCGATGCTCTTTAATTCAATTAACAGCAACTGAGTATGATTTTTATGCAGTGTTTTTAATGGACGTTGTACTGTATGACTAGTAGGTGCTTTATAACCTAAAAAAAATATGAAAGTGAAAAATTGTAAATCGTTCAAACGTTAATATCAAATTAAACCAACAAGGTAATGTTTTGCTATACAAAATCAACGTTTGGCTGCATGAAAACTCAAATACAAAATTATCATGATTATGATATTTTACTAGACTATAAAAATAAACTATAAAAGTATGTAAGAAAACAAGTGTTTCATAATGATATATAGACTGTTACCTTTTATATTACAGTTAAAGAGACGAAAATTAAACTTTATTGATTACTTTTTGATTAGATAGAACCCGTTAAAATCAACTTTGTACTGTTTTACCTTGAAACAACAAAACTCTAAAAGAATTCTTGGCAAATGTCCTGAACATGAAGAGATTTTGAATAGCTAAGATACTCAGAGAGTTATCAGGGTGTGCGTGTGAGTGTCGATGTGGGTGGATGTGAGTGTGGGTGAGTGAAGGGTGTGAATGTACTTGTTCTTTAACCTACCACTCACACTCACACCCTTATGAACAGA